TAGATTTTTCGAATGTCTATACAGCAATCTACGAAATATATTTAGTGTAATACAAAGCACAGGAACTTAATGAAAATCCTTTCCATCGTCATCCAATCCAAGGAATACGGTGTTTCAGAGGGAACTTCAACGAGATATTGACTCAATTTTCTTTTCTGACCTGCGCAGTTTCGAGTTCAAATACTACATAACCGAGATTAACAATTTTAAGTATGTTTTCAAAAAGTGTCACCGTGACAAAGAATAAGTGGAAAATGTGCGCGTAATTCTTTGGGGAAGGAGGAATTCCATGCTGACTCACGTACCCACATTTAATTGTTTTCTATTTGGCAGATTTTAAAAATTGTCTTTTGTCATTATGACCGTGAAAAGCATGTTGTGAGTACTGCATACATTGACTTCTATAAATACTCAATATACATGTTTAGTTGTACATATCAGTCAAACTGTTTTGATTTTTACCTTCTGAATGAAGCTGAATATCTATCATCATTCGGTGCGTCAAAAAACGTTGAACGCTGGAAAATTTCATGGAATGACTCATTATATAAAAATATAACGGGGATTTGACACTAATCCACAGGATAAACACGTAGAGGTTAAATTTGAGAATTTCGAGAATTTACAAGTAAAACATTCGCAAAAGAGAGGTCTTTGGAAAACCGAAATAAGGAAAGCGTCTAAAAATATTACTTTCATTCTCCCGCGCTTCTTCACAAAATCAATATTCTGTCACGAAGACTCCGAAAAATGAAGAAATGCGGAACCACAAGCATTTTGATCGCTATGAGAGTGATAAAAACTTGAAAACAAATGTTTTTAGAACTATCAGTACACGTTCACATGATCTAGCTGATCATGTGAACGTGGAACAAATTATTTTGTGAAAGAATATACGTCTCGATCGGCCTCGAAAAAATAAAAAAGCGAGGAGAACAGGGCTATAAAGCTTCCGTTTTATTTAAGTGAATCGAATCCCCGAAACAATGTGTCTAGCATTCACCAAAAAAAATAAAGTAAAAGAATGCTTTTGATCCCGGAACAGATGTCATATGAAGCTTATCGAGAAATACGGAGTTCTTCAAATCCGACAGAAAGCGTTTTGGCCTCGATGATGAAACGCGATTGCTCCTGGAGAACCGTTCAGCTGAAGAAATACCTAAATCTATGATTTCTATCGGAAATAAATAAGGATCATGATCCTTTGTTCGGACAGCAGACCCTCGAAAATGCTCCATTATTCCCAGTTTGGATTTGTTTACAAACGACTTGCTCGTGAAACCGGAATCAATAGTACTGTACAGTACTTTTAATACTTCCGATTCTCCTGCTCAAAATAACCGCATCGACGCAAATACAAATCACAAAAGTTGAACTTCCATTCTACGTGCTGCCCCGAATTTGATGAGGGAATCAAAAATACTTGGACTTGGGGAGTTTTCGAGTTGAGAAATTTGGCTTCACTTGGGAGGGGAAATCAATTGAAATTTTCTTCTGACCAAAATATTATTATAACTGTTCATTATATCCACATATTGGCCAACATTGCAAGAATAAATATGCTTATGCGTTATATAATCCCATTGTGGAGAGAATAAATGAAATAACTGGCATTTATTTTTATTTTTGTGGAACAGGTGCTGAATCACTATAGCCCCAAATTGATAAAAATGACTCCAAATTTGACTAAGGGAGGTTTTATCCATAAAGGTTCGAGTTACAGAAGTTTGGAGGCCATTGCTTAACTGGGATGAATTGACCATTGGTTAACAGGAAAATATTCCTGGTTGACAGGAAAATTTGAATCACGGATAAGTTTTCAACACAAAGAACTTCAAAAGTACGACTTATTTGAAGACGTATCATATTGATATTGAAAAAATGTTTCCTGCGAACTCTAAAACAATCTTTCATTCATTTCCAACGTCACTGCAATTTTCCGCAACTTCCTGGAAGACTTAACCAAGTATCGCATTACTGGAGAAGAAATTTTATAATTATGATACAGTGCTCCTATACAGCCTTGTATAGACGAGCATCATTCCTTAATTGGTGATTATTACGACCATTAAACTTCAATTCAGCATTTTTTGATTCATCATAAAATAATTGCACTTGAAAATTATGCATATTTTGTTATTTCTGTCGGAGTAAGCGCGTATTTAATCTGAAATGACAAATCAGTACAGTATATATGGGCACAATATTCAGTTTCAAGAAAATTTGCTAAAGATAACCTACAAGACAACCATATATGGGTGAGTTTTGTAGTAGATTGACTGCAGAAAAGTCTTTCTGGCTCCTCAACGTTTTGCTCACTCAAGAAATGTCAATGCTGATAAGCATTCTCTGCATTAGATTCATTATATTCACCTGCTTGGAAGTCATGTAAGGGCTCTGCAAAGGATTCATCCACAGCTCTTCCATGAAAAATACATATGAACAATTGACTATGGAAACCAATGATAATTGATGATTCTGCAAACTAAAACAATGCAATATTTCCAGAGTATAGGGTTACTAAAATAAACAAATACCATGCCTTGAATTAAACCAGTACTGGATCACCATGAAATGGCCAGTCATGCACATTTTTCTTGTCTGATGCCCCAAGTCTATATAGGAGTGTCCAAATGCTTCTTATGCATTCATTGCTGGTCTGGTCTTTGTTAGTTTGGTTCACAAATATATTACTCACTTGTACAAAAGAGGAGTGTTCTCATTTCACATTACCCAGGCCATAAGAATGAATCACTTCTTGACATATTTTTGTCCCAAAAGATAATTTCAGAACAAAGTAAATTATCTCTGCGAACTGCGAAGGAGACGTTTGATGCATTTGTATTTTCTTTGGTAAAATTCTGACAACTTACGATAACAACCCCAAAATTTAATTGATCAAAATTGAAGAAATGAGTAGTGCAATGATTTGACATTCACTCTAGGGCAAAGTTCTAAAAGCCAAGCACCTCCGGAACACAGTTGGTGTGAATCTATATGGATTTAAAAAACATGACACGCATATACTGTACTTCTTAAATTAAGTAATGGTACCAAGGTTTCGATTTAAAAGCGTTTGTTAGTCAGGCATGACAATAAGTCGCAGGAAAAACAAGAAGATATACATTTGACACAGAGTCACATTCAGAGTGGAAAACATTTTTATTCCGTCTCTTGGAAGTAGTTGAACACTGAAAAATGTCAAGCATTTCTTCCCGAACAATAACCATCAACGAATGACGAGAATCTCAAAATAACACTCACTTTTCCTACATGGCACGTCAATTAAATAAATGCTCCTGTGATCGAAAATCCAACTCAAATTTCCACCGACACAAGAAAGACAAAGCAAGCCTTTTTTTTCCGTCTGTTATGGATTTGAGCCAATGAAGGGATTGCTTAGAAAAGGAGATCTTCGAAAAGCTATTCGGTCACATTTAAACGCTCAGGAATTGGCTGAAGATCGTAAACGTACGTTGAAAAATTGAAATTTGACTTCAAAAAATTTTTTTATAAAGAAAAATTAGAAGAAATTGGCGGGCAACACTTGGTCCACACGACTAACAACCTCGAATCCAACGAACTACATTTCTTTAGAAATTTTTTTTCTTCAAGTCGTGAGCAACAATGATATCAAAATGAACCATGAATCTTCTTCGAAACCCCCTTTTCAAAAGATTTTGAATCAAAATTCTCACAGGAGGGGGGGGGGGGAATCACTCAGAAGTGATTGAATGCACTGACAAATCTTTGGTAACGGTTTTTTCGGAGTGTTTCGTTGAGGTGAATCAGTTTCTTTGGTTTCAAGGTTAATTTGGGCGAGGAAAATTAAATAGTCCAAACTTGCACTTTTTCGGCGATTATGCACCAATTTGCGTGGTCGTAGTACGAGGATATGATATGCAAATTTTGCACGTACTTCTCGATAAGCTTGTCCAACTCACGCTCCCGGAACACATGGTAATACCTGAAACAAGAACATCATCACACTACAGCATTTGACAACAAAAATCACGAAGATGCCCATTAAAACACCAGAATGTCAATTAAGCGTCTCCAGTACTTTCATGAGCTTGTACAAATTCTTTGATTCAATTCTGTAAAAAAATTACATTTCATTCCTCTGACCACTCTGAAGTACATTACACTCATAAGTTATTTTAAAGATATTTCGGGAACATCTGTTTTTATATACGAATGAAATAACTTGAAATCACTAAAATGTCCGATGCATAATTTATAATTATTGAAGCTGAAGGTACAGAACTGCAGCCAAACAAAACTAAGCTCAACTCAGAAAGAATTTATTTTGAAACCATGCTTTTTATTCCTAATAGCGGATACACAATTCAAAAGATGATCATTTTCAAGGCACCTAACTATATTATTTAAATTACTCAAATTCAATCATATTCAGAGAATGAATTCAGGCGAGGCCATTAATTTCTTGCGAATTTCAAGGAAAGGCGCTGATTTTTTTCCACTTAATTCAAGAACGTCGACCTTTCCCAAAAACATTTCAGTGACATCAATAGCCATCGGAGTATAGAATTAAAAAAAATTAAACACTGAAAACCCCGAATAACTCAATAATTCTTTTCATTTGTATTATTTTCATTTCCCTGGGGTAGCCAGGAATTGTTAATTGCGCTGTTTATGTACGTACAATGCAATTAAAAAAAAACTTGTGTGGCTCAAGGAAATCGCAAAAAATCACCTGTGGTAATTGGTGCTGTGAGCAATGCCGTTGTCTGAGCTCTGCAAACTGTCCTGCGACGTAGACACGCTGGTGTTGTCCCAACTCGTTTGTCCGCCTTCAGCCGACCCCAACA